CACGCTCCCCCCAATCATGAAATCATTGAAAGTGCAGAAGTCTGCGAATAATTAACATTGTGCATAGCAGTGAATAATTGTTACCGTCCTTCCTCCCTTTTGGGTTGAATCTTGCTGTCATAATCCTGAAGGAGATTGGTTTACACTGCATTCGGTTTTTGGCTGCTACTGGTGACACCATGATAGCCCCTCGCTGCCTCAGTGTACTCGTGGTTGCTGTCTGGATGACCAGACAGGAGTAGGTTACTGACTCTCCAGTTGACAATTTCGAAATTCCACATCCATTCCATCTGCTCTTTCAGACTCCCAGCACTTCTATACCATATCTTCTCATTTCTTTGGCTACGTGGGCAGTCTCCCAGCCTTGTACATTGTACGGACATTCCACGTCCCCATTCTTATTTTTGTTTTCATCGGTTAAAGACACCGGGTGGCTGACTGGCTTTCCGATGGCTTTCATCAGCCCGCTGTGTCATTTCACCTCTCCGATTCCAGCGAAGAATAAGTTCGTTTCTTATACTTTTTTCACGTTTTTATTGTGCGTTGAAGTTTCTCTAGACGTTTAATTGGTTTTGTGGCAATAAATAGACGGTGATTTCATAATTTCGAAGTACTTCCGGACGTTCAGACATTTATCCCTTAGGTTAACACTAATTGTTTCTGATATGTGTATATCACGTCTAGTACAGTTGTTGTTTAACTACATTAACAGGCATCTTAAATCAATTAAGACCTTTCTAGCTAAATATAATTGTAACGACAGGAGGCAAGAGTCAGGCAACAGATCGTTTATTAAGGAAGTCAACACATATTTACAGATTTTCATGTACATATGATAGATTATTGTAAGCAGAAAAACACAGTCTTCTGATTGGCTGTTTCTCACAAAAAGTTAACCTTGCATCTCTTTGTGGCTGTTTCTTGAATGTCAGGTGATCTATATGCTAACTGTATCCGCCTACGCAAAGCCTGTGTTCTCATTTTTCTCACGACCAATATTGGGGATATAAACATTGACGTAAATTACTGTCCACCAATTTTGACTAACAGCCAGCTCTCATCACATAATATCTTAAAATTCAGAAACATAATGCAATGTAAATCTCAGGGTTAAGTTTCTCTAATAACTATATACTGCTAAAACTTGTTCTGAAGACGTTGTCCAGAAGGACGACGAAAGCTTCGCAATTATAAACCAACCAGCTTAGAGAACCCAACTAATTCCAAATCATCCATTTGAGCGACAAATCTCTATTACTGCCCTAATGTGTTAATATTTGATTGCATATTTATATATGTGTTGGTTCATTTCAAACATCTATTTAAAGATGCCGTATAGATGGAACTCAAAAGTGTTCGTTCTGAAAGATTCCGAATAGGAGATCTCAAAGAAAAATTCAGTTATCGTTTACCTGATGTACATAATATTTTAAAACAAAGTGATGCAAACGACCGTATTACCTCTGAATTCAAAAATATAGTAGACAACTTATCAGTACTTGACCAGCTTGAAAAAGATTGCAGGTAGGCTTCACGTGTTAATTTTCATCATTTAACTCATTAGTTTAGAGAATTTACATTATGATGGTGAGTACACAACCTTAGAGGAAATTCTGAAAATTATACCTGCACGAAATACTAATGATATGCAATTCAATACTTTGGCTGACTTAAAGAAAGAAACTGAAGGTCTTAATTCGAAAACATCAGTTCTTACAGCCACTCGAAGAATTCCTCGGCCTTTTGTTGACATGTCGTATAGAAATTCTATGGAGGAGTCTTTGGCAGCCACAGAAGTCAACCAGGATATATTCGTTACTGTCCTAATCTACAGACCACTTTGTCTCCCCGCCTTAGACCCATGTTCACAGGTACTGTCATTCATTATTCCTATTACAGGCTTAAAAGTCTCGACAATTAGTCATTACCCAGAGGTTGGTACTTCTGTCCAAACAGAATCTTACAGTTCTAAGGGATGCTATAAAGTGCCCACAAGATAAGGTAAACATACTTTTTTTCTTCATCTCATCTGTTTTCTTCAGGTTTGGTTGGGTGACTGTAGTGAAGCACTTGATAATCCAGAGTTGCATGTGTCTGCAGATAAACTGTACACCTCGTCGTACTTTTTTATTGAAGGAACATTTTATGATGATTTGCGGAATCCAAACAGTAAAAGCCTTAGTCAGTAGGTTGTCTATTCCGATTACTTTTATTCTATTATAGAGAGGTTGCTCAGTGGGCTAAAGGTAAGAAAGAACTGGAATGTTATGGACCTTTTGCATCATCATCAATGCAGTCAGTAAAGCTTGAAGACTTGTCGATTTATGTCGGAAAACCATACTTTTTTGTTCATCAAGGAAATTGTGAACACATGATGATTTTTTCAGACGTTCGGTAGGTTTACATTACATCATCAATAGACGACGTTAAAACAAACTTCTTGAATAACTAACTTAACTGGATATTAGTATAAACGTGCTTTCACTACTTACACTAATCCACTAGTTTAGTGGAACCTTATGCACGTCAGCTTACAGTTAGTATAGTGCAAAGAACATCAAAATCCAGGTTTATTATTATTACCTTTAATTCCTAGAGGAACATAGGGCCTCAGCCGCGCGTCTTCATTGCGTTCGGTCCTCTGCTAACGTTTTCACCCCGCTACAGGTCTGCCCACACGCTTTCTTCTCCTCTTCACATCACCTCCCCCATGTCACTCGACCCTCGCACTGACGATCAACTCGCCGCTTCCCTTTCGAGTTCCACTCGAGCAATGGCCTGTCTAGTGATGTCACTTGATGGTTTCCTCAGAGTATGGCCAGCCAACCCATCTCCATTTCTTCTTGCCTATTTGTTGCACAATCGGTTCCTGGTTTGTTGGTTGATTTGCTCATTGCCAGAAATTCCTGTTGCTGATTTTTCTGGCCATCTGATCTTGAGTATTGAACGAAGACAGCTGTTGATGAAGGTCTGAAGTTTGTTTGAAGTGCTCTTTATGACGCGCTGGCCAAGTCTCTGATCCGTATAATGAGTAGCACCGACTGATTTCACATTGGAGTTGAAAATCCCGATCTTATTTTTGATGTTGTGGAGTGCTGTTGACCTCCACACAGACTTAAGAGTTTGTCTTGCTTTCCCGTTGATCCTTGCTTTGATATCCTCCCCAGGACCGCCTGTAATTGACACGATGGTTCCCGCGTAGGTAGGTAAAGGAGGTTGTTTCTTTCAGGTCCCTCCCATATATGCTGATCGTTGTCTGTTGTTGTTGACCAGCAATCTTCATCATTTGAAGGAATTCCTATCTTTGATGCTTGTTCTGCCAACTTGTTGCTTTTCACTTGCATATCTTCCAGTTTGTGGGAAATCAGACATATATCATCGGCGAAGTCCAGATCCTCCAAGTTTCTTGTAAAAGTGGGTCCATTTTATGCCTGTTTCCTCGCTGCCCATCCCGCTATCTGTCGCATTATCCAATCTACCACAATTAGGAAATTCGTTGACGATAGTAGGCAGCCCGCCTTGTCTTACTCCCGTCCTCACTTCGAAGGATTCCGTAAGTTTCCCGTTGTAGATTACTTGGCATGCAGCATTGTCGTATAACTGTTGGATGAGATGTATAATTGTCGGTGGGACCCCACAGTAGTAGCGAAGTAGTTTCGAAATCACCTCTCGATCGATACTGTCAGCTGTAGGCCTTTTTAAAGCCGATAAAGTTGAGATAGAGGGGTTACTGCCATTCCAAGCTTTGTTCAGTGATGGTCCGTAGTGTGGCGATTCGATAAATACGTGACTTGTTTCTCCTGAATCCAGCCTGTTCCGGTCGAAGTTTTTCATCCAGGGCTTGTTTGATTCTCTCCAGGATGATGCGGTTTAGTATTTTGCTTGGGATGGACAGGAGCATAATTCCGCGCCAGTTTGTGCATTGACTTTAGTCTCCTTTCTTTGGTAGTTTGCATAAGTATCCTTTCTTCCAATCCTCGGGTACTTTGCCCTTTTTCCACACCTTCTCCAGTAATGGTGTCATCTTTACGATGTTTAGCTGAGACATTTGACCTCAAATAAATTGCTATATGGTTTACAGTCAATCTACAAAAGTTCATCAGTTGTTCAGTAACGGTTTCAACAGTGCTGCTGCTGATATTTTAGAGACCGCACCTAAAGAAGTGTTCACAATGCACCGTGAAACTAGGCGACATGATAACTGATTTGTTTGTTTGTGTTGTTTCCTCATCTTCTATTGTCTTCAGTTTCACTAATAAAAAAAGGCATGAGTGCGGTAGAAAAACTAATCGACTCTATTGTAGTTATACTACTTACAGGTGAAATTCGAGTTTGCTTCTGAGATCAAACTTCATAGCATATTCTACTATAAATTATGAATGCATTTATAGATGTATAGAACAATTCGATGCAGGAAACTAACGACATAGGATTGGGGATATTATTAATATTATTTTATGTTAATGAAGTATGTATATTCATAGTATTTAAGTGAAAAAAGTAAAAATAATACCTTACATTTCTTCCGTTTCTACTTTTTTTTATAGCTTAATTGATCGAGATTCATGTCAGAATGAGTCTTCATTCCCTATGCTTACTGGCCGGTGTAGTACACGCGTGTTACACTGTCTCGTTTGTAAACGCCTTGCATCTCGTTGGTTGGTTACACAATGTGCAACTCTCCTGCCTGTTGATCCATGTCCTATATGCGACGTATGCATACGAATGTTACTGTACACCGCAGACGGAAAAAAGATTAATCCAAATTTTAGAGTGTACATGTACTGTGGAGAGGAGGTTGTTGTATAAAAGAAAAGCTGTGTGTGTAAATTATGTGAATAAATGCTCTTTTAATAAAAGTACTGTATACTTCTTACTTACTAGCTAGTGTCAAAATATTTTACACAAAAAACGTCTACAGTGTGCCTTTTAAGTGATAACTCACTCACTGTAAGTAAACAAACTATTTTTTGCTTTTTTTTTAGACACTGTAAAGTCGAATGGGATTTCCTCAAGATGACAAAGATAACGACTCCAATGCAGACAAAGTTGCAGCTGCCACATTTAGTGTTTTGTCAGAAATATCAAGTCTTTTAAATACAGGTAAATATGTTTTTCAAAAATTATATATTCATCACTGTTACACCGATTATAATGAGAAATCTTAAAAGGTGACCACTTACTGGCATGATTGAAATTGATAGATGTTACTCAACTATTCGCGTTCGTATGCATTTGGCAACAAGCCAAATCTATCGATTGAGGATTGTTAGCACTAAGGACTATTGATATAAGCCATTCCTAGAACATTTTTTGTATCATGTGCAGAGTTAGCCTTCGTCGACTACATTTTGCTTAGCCTTACATATCAGCTTTTCTATCAACGGATTAATTTTGACGCAGCAAAGTAAAACCACTGCGTCGGTGGCATAGCGGTTAGGACGCTCGCCGACCATGCACATAATCCATGGTTCGATCCCCGGCCACCGACGCACTCCTTTACCTCGCTAAGCCAGAAATAATGCTGATAAAGAGGAAAAGTTGGACATGAGGCTAGAAACCGCATCCCGTAAAATAAACACTGCTACAGAAACTTCAAACCACTAGCTTGAAGCCCTATGTTCCACTGGGAAACGTGAAAGAAGAAAAAGTAAAACCACGAGTTAACGCGTTTTGTTGCTTTCTACCAAAACAAATGCTTCAAATTCTACAGGATGAGATAATGCACCACCGCAGGGACTGTAACACGACAAATCAATTCACACTATATTGCCTCATCGCCTGTGTCTTAGTCTATATTAAAGATAAACATCCTATCTGAAAGCCAGTTTTTATACTATCTCAAACATTCAGATTGCATTCCGAGTCTTCACCTAAGAGGAAGGACTATATCATCTGTATATTCTAAGTCAACGAGATTATTCCCTGACGGTAACAAGTCAATCTCTGAGTTTCTGAAGTGAGTTAGGGTCAAGTCCATGTATGAAGAAATCGATTAGAAATAGGGATAAAAGATATCCCTGTTGGACACCACTAGTTGTCACCAGTTCATATCACAATTCGCCACGAGCTCTCACCTGGCTGCATGAGTTCAAGTAGAGTGCCTTGCATTTTCCAGGCATACCCTTCACAGCTAAACATCACCATAGTACCTTTCGGTCGACAGAATCGAATGACGCCTTTAGGTCAAGAAATATGACGATTGTTGGACGCCGCTGGTAAGTATGCCTATGTTCCAGAATCTGTCGATAGGTGAAGATATGATCAATACACCCTCTTCCTGGTCTGAAGCCTATCTGGTTCTCTCATGTTTGTGTTTCCCAAGCATCACTTAGTCTATGCATTATTATTAAGCCTAGACAAGAATACTTCTCTCCCATCTTGTATATCGGGATGATCAGTGACTTACACCAACCCGATGGGACTTCCCCTGATTTCCAGACGCTGCCTAGAACCTCAGTTAACGCAGAGAGTAAACTGTCTCCACCGTAATTAAATACCTCTAGAGTCATTCCATCTGTTCCTGCTGCTTACACTATCTCAGCCTGAAAAACGACTGACTTTCCATACCTTCTATAGATTTCTTCTTAAAAAACTTTTCAACACGTAAACAACTCTTGTTATTGTCACTTTTCTTTGTTATTCTAGGTTTGGACAATGAAGAATTACTGATGTGCATCAAACTAATCGAGAGTGGTGTTAATCCAGCCACTTTAGCTATGCTTGTAAATAATATTAAACAACAATGCGAAGGTATATCTGAGTCGAAACGAGTCTGAACACTAGACTTCTTCATTGTGGTGTGCATATTTTTTAAGAAAATGATTCATTCACATTCAAGTGTAAAGATTACTACTAATGATTGATTGGAATAACAAATACATATTATTATATTAGAATATGAACAATTTGTCCATATTTATTTAAGATCACAGTTATCCACGCGAGGGTGTAAAGGGTGGGGTGTAAACAATAACCTTTCTTTTTTTAAAACAAGACAATTTGTTTTCTTTTGTGTGTGTGTGTGTGTGTAAACAATCACGTTGATTACCAGCAATCCAATGTAAAGAAACAAGAAGAATTCATACAATAGATAAGTAGAATAGAAGTCAAAATAAAGAATGATTATAATAAAGCAAGCAATTGGTATGTGTACTATTGTCATCAACCTATAGCATCAGCTATTATTCGGCTTACACTGGGATCAGATGAACGAACAGTGATTTGGAAAGTGATGCCTTGTTCATTTGCATGCGATGTATCTGACAGCACTTTGGCTAGTTTACATAGTGCCAAAATTTCATATCCTCCACGAAAAACACCGGCTAACAACAGCTGATGCGATGATTTCCCTTCCTGTGGCATATGATCAGTTTGATCACACGGTTGAAGTCCAAGATGTTCGATAATTTGCCGCATTGTTTCTAAGCATTCAAGAAAGGCAGAAAAAATTTTTCTGATGATTTAATGTTATTGAACACTTAAAAAAAGAAATATTATTATGCGAATACCTTTCGTAGCAATTGTATTTAAAGCATAATACCTACATTAATTAATCCATTGTCCCAGTTAACAAAATCAGCAGGCCTGAGGACGGTACTTACTCATAGAACAGGATGAAACACAGTTTTGCACTGAGTAAGAAGTGATGATAGGTCTAGAATTTGTATTAAACATCCAGAGTACGTTTTTTGTAGGAAGCGCGCCTGTACGACATAGAATGTTGAACCCGGGAAAAAGAACTGACTGTATGCGATATAACGTCCACACTCCCCCCCCCACCTTATTGCAAATATTTATTATTGTTAATCCCTAGAGGAACATAGGGCTTCAGCCGCACATCTCCATTGCGTTGGGTTCTCTGCTAGAAATTTCGCGTGGCTCCAAGTCTGCCCACATGCTTTCATCTCCTCTTCACATGACCTCCTCCAGGTCACCCTTGGACGATCAACTCGCCGCTTCCCTTTCGAGTTCCACTCGAGCAATGGCTTATATAGTGATATCACTTGATGGTTTCCTCAGAGTATGGCCAGCCAATCCACCTTCAATTCATCCTGCTTATTTGTTGCACAATCGGTTCCTGGTTTGCTGGTTGGTTCGCACATTGCCAGAGACCCCTGTTGCTGATCTTTTCTCGCCCGCATTCTGATCTTGAGTATTGAGCGAAGACAACTGTTAATGAAGGTCTGTAATTTAGTTGAGGTGCTCTTTATGACGCGCCAAGTCTCAGAACTGTATAGTAGCACTCACTTCACAATGGAATTGAAAATCCAGGTGTTATTTTTCATGCTGTTGACCTCCACACAGACTTGAGAGTAATGAAAGCTTGTCTTGCTTTCCCGTTGATCCTTGATTTGATGATATCGCCGTCCTCCTGTAGTTAAAACGATGCTTCTGAGGTGGGTTGGTAAAAGAGGTTGTTTCTTTCGAATTCCTGCCATTTACGCTGGCTGATTGTCTATTTTTGTTGCTGTCACTTGCATATCTTCCAGTTTGTGGGAAATCAGACACATATATGTTTTCGACGAAGTCCAGATCGTCCACGTTTTTTGTGTGGGCCCATTTTATGCCTGTTTCCTCGTTGCTCAGCCCGCTGTCTGTCGCATTATCCAATCTACCACAATCAGGAAATTCATTGACGATAGTAGGCAGCCCGCCTTCACCCCGAAGGATTCCGTAAGTTTCCCGTTGTAGATTACTTGGCATGCAGTATTGTCGTACAACTTCTGGATGAGATGTATAATTGTTGGTGGCTCCTCGTAGTAGCGAAGTAGTTGCCAAATGACCTCTCGTTCGAAGCTGTCTGCTGAAGGTCTTTTCAAAGTCGATGAAGTTGAGATAGAGAGGCGACTGCCATTCGAAGCTTTGTTCAATGACGATATTGCAAATAAACCTGCTAAAAGTAGCCGTCTTATTATGATTACCTCTCGTAATCCTTTTCTAGAATTTCGCAGCTGTTTGTATTGAATGGTGTTTATTATTATATAGTAACAGCGTGTCCACTATCGGGCTCGCTGATGGATTGCACTGCAAATTCGCCTTTGTCTTTGACGATGCGCACATATAGAGAGAGGCTGCTCATATTAAAAAAAATGGCATGTAACGATAGACGGATGATAATAATAAGTCTATAAAGAAAGTGACTATACCTTTGATTGTTTTATGCTTTACCAGCATATATGTTTCTTCCACTTCACTTTCTGGATTAAGTTCTTGCCAAGCCATGGTAAAGTTTTGCTTAGAGATGCGTTGCACGTGGTCTGAAATTCCAAGGACCAGGTCTTCCAACTGCAAAACAATATTTTAATTAACAACAATTAGTTAGAAAAGCGAATGATATGAAAAGTGAGAGGGAAAAAAAGGGGGAGTATTTTCCATGTAAGTTATTGCTGCAGGAGGAAGATTGTCAAAAATGTGACAAATTGTATTGAATGCTGGTGATTCTTGCATTCAATATGCTATAAACACAGTCCAGCTTAACTCTCTGTTAGTCAGTTTTGAATTTAGGGTCATTAAGCTAATGACACAAAAGACTGTAATTCGATGTTAACAATTGCTTTGACAGTCTGTATGATTTTAATTTGTGGATGGTGGCTAGCAGTGGAATCCAGAATGCGCATTTCGTCCCATTTGGGACTCGTCAGCTGGACGCACCTGCATTTCCCAGTGAGTGATGATATTCCCACCATTGAGGCTCGAACCCAGTGACCATAGTTTCAAACGCCAAAGCGTTATCCATAGGCGAGTTGATAATTTTTATCAAAGAACACAAAAAAAGGATCACTTATTTTTTAACTTACTTGATATTCATCTAACAAACCAGGATCTGATGGATCAGAGTCTACGTCTTTAATGCGGAACTTTAATGTATTCATAAACGTAGCCGAATGGTATTCAAGACTTTCTGGTAATTTAATTAAGACATAAGTTACACCAGGTGAATTATATTTCAAAGTTTTACACGGTATTGTGCTCAGGATATCAAAGACTGAATCATCTGGTTCACAGGAAACGTAAACATCTTCCAAAATTTGATCTGCCATTGTGTTAGTACAATCGAACTGGAATATATAAGATGTGAAAGAGAAAGATAATTTGTTGTTTATATTAATCTGATAAATCATAAATGAAGTTCTCATGTGTACGCATCACTTCCTCTAATTATGCTTATTCTCATTTTGTCTACATGATACCAAAAGTTGTGTCGGTGGCATAGCGGTTAGGACGCTCGCCGGCGACCATGCACATGGTCCAGGCTTCGATCCACGGACGCACTCCTTTACCTCCCTAAGGCAGAAATAATGCGGATAAAGGGGAAAGGTTGGGCATGAGGCTAGCAACTCCATCCTGTAAAAATTAAAGACTGCTACAGAAACATCAAGCCACTAGCTTGAAGCCCTATGATATTCCACTGGGGAATGTGGAGGAAAAAAAACCAAGAGTTAAATTAATTATGGGTGTAGCTGAACAACGTACGACAACGAATGCCTGCCCTAGCGATAAAACAACATTGAACCTAGTCATGACGGGCGGGGGGGGCTAATACTCAGTAAAGAACAACTTTTGTTAAAACCACGAGAGTACATTTTGGTTCTTTAATTCTTAAAGAAAAAAGAACAAGGACCATAAAAATCGACATAATAGTTCCTATATGAATGTGATCAATCCTCATTTGAACACAATCCCCTTCCCACTATGTGCGTCGGTGGCACAGCGGTTAGGACTCTCGCCCCGACCATGCACATGGTTCGAGGGGTTTGATCCTCTGCCGACGCACACACACCTGATATCTATGGTCGGCCTGCGAAAATATGGGCTACCTATATCCATGCTGAAAATCCCATACTTGTATCAAAAATACAGTGCGGAATCAAGCTGTAATCAAAAATAAAAAAAATTTCTTCACTAGAGCTTAATAACAAGGAGTGTTTCACTTAAGATGCCATGTACACACTGCAGCATCAAGAACAATGAATATATACTTTAAAAGAAATGTTCCACACTTTTGCTTCCTTTATAATTTCTTTCTTACTTTCTTACCTTTATACTTTCATATAGTCAATTTCGCATCATCTATGGGACGGAACAGGTCACTGACTGATTTGAAAAATCATTGGCTGATAATGTTCTGAAGATTTGTGACATATCTGGATACTTTATGAACACAGTTAACGCTTATATTATAAAGGCTTGGATAATTTGTCTGACAAGTCAGTTCCTCAAACTCTCGACTTCAAAAATCTAGGTCATTCAAATTTAAATTGAGATGTAACAGGATTTCGGACCCGAAAACAAAGCTTGCACCCATTACGCATAAGATTTTATTTTGATAAATCACACAGTGTTGTTATGCAGTAATATTTACTGATGACCACGTTTCGAGCACAAACTATTGCCCCTCATAATCATATCAATCTTCTCACACAACTTTTTCCTTCATTTATATACACGTGAGGAAGCGACCAGATGTTGGAATAAAAATCAATATAGGATAATGTACATTCAGAGATAATAATAATAATATGAGTGCTATTGATCAATTACAATCAGATGGGAAATAAGACGAGTGTTTTTATAGTCATAATGTTACTGTTTAGAATGTTAGATAAAAGCTCAGCGATTGCACTAAATGCATTAATACACAACAGAGTGGGAGAGGGTTAAAATTCTAAGAAGTAATCTATGTAAGTGGAGAGAGAGATTGATTGGTGAATCCTGGTTGGGTGTAGACCCAAAACATGTTAGCTGGCATAGGGTCAGGCTGGAAAAGAGCTAGTGG